ACAAAAGGTCCTAACTACTGGCAAGAGGAGGCTTAAATTAAAATACAAAAAAACAAATTGAACTAAAATAAATGCATGAAAGAAAATGAAGGACCAAAGTGGGTTTTTTTCAAAAGGAAACCCAACACATATAAGATTGCCATGCATTTTTTTATACGAACACTATTCACTATCATCCAAAAAAAGAGACCTAGTAGCTGTAACTTTTCCCCCACGCCTACTACCTCCTCTCTCATGCCCACGCTCTCTCGCCTATTCTCATCTCTACTTCCGACCTCCCTCTCGCCTTGCTTCCCTCACTCTACCAGCTAACCCACGTGTAGCAACCCCCTCTCAACGACTAGTCTTCCTCACGTCCGCCTCCCTCGCTCGGCTCGCCAATGCCTCCAGCCCTCTCTTGTGTTTGCTCTCAGCCTTGCTCACCTCACGCCATAACCATACATGCACCAGCATCCCTTCCTTGCACAAGCCAACTCCCTTCCAACCTACTAACCAAACACACCGGAATAGCCCCTATAATAGCCCTAAATAAAACACCCTACGGAGCAACCCCTTTTGGCCGACCTTTCCCTCACCCGGAACAACCACTAAAACATCCCCAAGAAAGCTTTAAGATACCCCTAAAACACCTTCAAAAGTAGCCACTAAAATGAACCCAAAAATCTATAAAAACCCCGAAACCAGCTCCAAACTATTACCAACAGCCCCTAAAAACCTTTATAATCCCTTCGGCGAGTTCATTTGAACCACCAAAATAGTACCAAAAACACTCCCAAATCGGCTTTAAAACCACCCAATAAAATCCCAAAAATACCCACTAAACGGACGCAAAAAGCTTCCTCAAAACAACCCCCGAACATTTCCTCTTTTTTTTATGTTGCGAAAAAAAAAGGAAAAAACTTAAAAAAAAAAAACCTTGTGTTATGGTTTTGTTTAATTTGTTTTGACGGAAACATATTTCGGGGGAGATCTTAGTCGTTCTAGTAAGATGCGCACCACACGTTATCTACAAATAGTCGTTCTCCTTTTTTAGCTAATCGAATATTCGATTATCATCGAAACGAAGAGAGTAAGACTAAATTCAAGCTAAACATCAAAATCATAGGATCTTTGGGTAAAAATTCTAAAACTACTATAATTTCAAAACATGACATGCGTTTGCTATACGATGGGTGATTGATTGATTGTGATGTGTGCGATATGATTTTAAAGCTGCTCGATGGTGATTAAAGTTATTTTGTATGTTTTTGTATACATTTCCCATCTTTATTTTCACTTTATTTTATTCTTACTTTTATTTTTATTTTTATTTTTTTGTCCTCCTTGTTTTGTTGTTGGTTTCTTTTTTTCATTTCTTGCCTTTTTGTTACGGTTGCATTATGTTGAAAATAAGCCACTAATAGCTTCCCACTTATGTGATGAAGGCTGCTTGGAAGGTTTCAAAGATATTCTTGTTTATTTTGTTTGCAAATAAACCACCGGTAGCTTTTCACTTATGTAACAAAGCCATTAGAGGGCTTCAAAGATATTTTTGTTTATTTTGTTTGCTTATAAGTCGATGGTAGCTTCCCACTTATGTGACAAAATCGTCGAAGGCTTCAAAATATTTTTATTTATTTGTTTACATGTGTGAAAATAAGTCATCGATAGCTTTTCACTTATTTGACGAAACGGCTAGCGACTTTTCAAAACGAGTCATTTGCTCCTTGCTTGAGCAATATGAGGTTGTCAATAATTTCCCACCTTTGTGATGAAGTTGTCGGTAGCGTCTCATATCCATGACTCAAAGTCATCGACGACTTCCCACTTGTGTGAGTGAAGTTGTCGATAACTTATAGCTCATGCCGGTAAAAGGCTATTTATCTTTAGAAACTCACCTATTTTTTGATAATATGTCGTGTTCGTTAATGATTAGTCAAAATTTTAATTTTTTTTACCTTTTTCCGATTTGGGTAGGGCGTATTGGCCTTGGATTAGCTCGAATGCCCAAACTACCTTGTTTCACACTTGAACCGACACATCCCATAATTTTATCAAATAAATTCACATGAATAGGTGTAGAAGCATAATAGAATAAAAATTAGATTTTTCTATTCATAGATAAATAATGCGGCATATTTTAGGTAGAATGGGATAGTGGTGACATGATGGTTTTTCCATACGTAACTAGCCCCTTATCCATATATCCATGTAGATCGGTATATTTAGGGTTTCTTATTTTTTTTCAATTAGCTAGGTGGTGACTCCTTTATCTCGGTCCTTTCACCATTTGTGTAATGGTCGACATCAATAGTATTAATTAAAGAAAGACAAGTGAAGCTAAACCATCTTCCTAAACACTAGAGAAGATGTAACCTAGTTCTATGTTTTTCAAGGAATTGAACAAAAACGTGAAAAATAATCATCAACCTCTAGTTACTACTACATACAAGTTTAGATAAGTAATTACACGGACTTGAATACTTAGCTAGCAATAAGTTAACATGATCAAACAATTAACATGCATTCTAATTATTCTAATCATATAAATATAACCCAATCATGCGAGAAAAATATATAATACCCAAAAAAGATAAGTTTAGAAATAAAATCTGTAATCTCATAGTGATTTAACGAAAGCTTCAACTTGATTCAACCAAAGCTTCAACTTGATTTGACCAAAAATAGAGTTATTTGCTTATAATAGGTCATAGAGAAAGAGTTTTCTATGAATGTTGGTTGCTAAAAAGTGAGAATGCCCTAGCTTTACTATTTATATCTAAAACTAGGGCTACATCATATAGGTGTCGGCTCCACGCGAGCACACGGGTTAATGAAATAATTTATATGATTTGTTATTTAGTATTACACGATTTGAAGCCTTAAAGAATAAGTGTCACACGATTTGCTAACTAGGGCACACGACCATATGCCTTTGTTCTTCATTCTGTGTTTTTTTTTTCTTGTACGTGTAGACTTTTACCTTTAAGCCATGTTAAATTTCTTACGTCTATGTAGACTTATTCTGTTTGTAAGAAAAGGGCGTGTGACTTTGCACTACAAGCTGTGTGCAATACCTTACGCCACTTGTGGTATTCTTTTCTCTTGGGCTTTGTTAAGTCGAGACACCCACACGATCGTATGGGATTTCTTCCTCCGGTCGTATGGAATGCTATTGCTTCGTGGATTCTTTTTCTTGTGAGACAAATGGTTTCCTTCATCATGACACTCGATTTCCTTTTTTTTATGTCACACGGCTCGTAGCTTTTTTTCTTGTTATTTCATATATTCGTATGACTCTTCTAAGCCTTTTTGAAGTTTTCTCTCTTCCTTGTTTCGAGTTTTGGGTTTCCTTGCTCCGATTCATCGTTTTTCTTACAAAACTCAAAATCATCATCTTATTCTTATATTACCTAATATAAAACAATAAACACTAGAAAGTTCAATATAATAGAACATAAGAATCATGTTAATTATGCACTCATCAATTAGTAATAAAAACCTTTTAATGCACAAAATGACCTCATAAAAAATATGAAGAATTAATTGCTTCGATTAATTCCAAATTCTTGAAGAGCAAACTCACTAATAAGCTCATCTATAGACTTAAAAATAACTTATCAAAATAGCAATTTTTTAAGAAGTGACTTAGGAATAGAAAAGGATTGGTCACTTTTCATATGAAATGATGTTTTTTTATTGTTTTTATCTTCTCGGAAACATAACCAACTCGTTATCCATACTTTCCGGAACAATAGTGTCCTTTTTAGGTTTTTTAGTTCTCTTTAATACTAATGGTGGTTCGATTTTTTTTTTTTTTAATTTCATATGTCAAATAGCAACAAAAAAATAATAACCATTAAAAGCTTTACACTAATTTATTGATAAAAACAATATATATATATACCTCAACTTCTTTTCAAAAGTTTTGGATGGTAGGTATTTACTATATTTCATTAAAGATAATAAAATTTAAATAATAAAATTTAAAAGAAGTATTGTATTGTTTATTATCATATTTGTATTTAAGTATATTTATTTTCAGTTTATAATTAAACTAAACTTGTTTTAAAAACAATTTCCTACCAATTTCTGAATCAAAACAAATTTTCGGATGCATTGCCATAAAAAATAAATCTCTCTCTCTCTCTTTCCTGTGAAAGAAAAATATGAAATTTTCTTATAACATGAATAGTTTTTTATTTTTTCTATTTCTCGGTATGCTTATAAAAACATTATGAACAATAACCCTTTTGAATATATATATATATATAATTTAGTTCACATTCTTATTAATTTTTATTTTATATATATATAATTTAGTTCACATTCTTATTAATTTTTATTTTAGTGAAATTATAATTATAGCTTCAAAAAAAATTAATTAGAAATTATAAAATTCTCAACTTTCGAATATTAGAAATTTAACTTAATTCAATAGCTATTTTAAATTATTTTTATTAGAATTAATTGAAGAATTCAATATATAATTGAAAAATACATGAAAACTTGTTCTTTATATATATGAAAAGTGACATATAAATAGTACAATTAAATATGAACATTCTTGATAGATAAATTATAAAAATATGAATTTAATCGTCATTTTCAAAAGCAATACTTTTATGCTTTTTCAAAATAAAAATAATGAGAATGAATTTTATTGTTATTTTTATTTTTATTTTTATTGGAATGAGAATAGTTAAGGTTGTCCTTGGATCGATACAACGTGGCCAAACCATTGACAAAATGTAAACAACAGACATAAGCTCTGAATTTTTTCCCTTCCGCCGAAAGTTTATCAATCAGGAATAGAATAAAGTGGCGCAAGAAATAGAGAATCAATTACAGCACAGCTTTCTTTGCCAACCATTCTCTTTTTTATCTTTATACTTCTTGGTGTTCCTTTCTATCACAAACAGCTCTCTTCCAGACCAAGAAAGCAAGATCGTAACCCCGAAAGAGTTACTATCCTCTCCCTGTCTCATTTGCTGATCGATCAAAAAATCCCTCAAGAGATAATGGGATGTTTCAGGCCAAAAAGATCCAAAACTACTTCTAACTTGAAAACTACCACGCCCGAAGCTACTTTCCTATCTCAACAACAAAATCCTGCAGAGCCCAAAAATCTCAAACAAGAACTTCTTTTGCAAATCCCAGCATGCACAGTTCACCTGATGGAAGCAGGAGAAGCTCTGGAACTTGCCAAGGGAGACTTCAGTCTTGCCAGAATTCTGGATGAGAATGTTTCTCTTGCTACAATAGTTAAAATTGGTGATGATCTTCAATGGCCTTTGACAAAAGATGAGCCAGTGGTTAAACTTGATGCTTTGCATTATTTGTTCTCTTTGCCAATGAAAGATGGTGACCCTTTGAGCTATGGAGTCACATTCTTGGAGCAGTATGGAAGCAGTTTGGACTTGCTGGATTCATTTCTTTTTGAGCTCTCATGCTTCTCGTGGGCGGAAGCATCATCTGCTAGAAATACTAGAAATGTTGACTGGAAGGAGTTTGCTCCAAATGTTGAATATTATAACAATTTTTTGGCCAAGGCTATTGCTGGAGGTACTGGTCAGATTGTGAAGGGGATCTTCAAATGTAGTAATGCTTACACTAACCAGGTCTGCTTTAACTACGAATCATTATTTCTTTCAATTTCTAAATCAGTATCGTTTGAACTAAATTTATGATTCACTGGGTGATAACTGAGTCTTAGGTATATGTTTATGATTAGTAGACAGCGCACTAGGGGACTATTAATGAATGGATCGAAGAGAATATCGAATGCACCTGTAAAAGTTGTAAAAAAATGTGGCATAAAACTACAAAATGGTAGTACAGGACTGCGAAATCACAGTATATACAGATTCTATAATTGATATATATATATATATATATATATATATATATATATATATATTATGTTCTTCTTCGTTACCAATTTAATTTTCTTTCCTTAGTTGCTGGAATTGAATGTAATATTTATGATTTAATCTATGAAGAAACGACAACTATCTTTCAAACCAATCAAATTCATTTTCCACACACATATAATATAATCAAAGTAAGAATCAAATAAGATCGAAATGATTATAAGAAAACCTGAATAAACCGAGAGGTTAAATAAAGTAAAACGTTAACTTTATCAAATTTTAAAAAAACCTAAGAAAACTAATAGCTACACTAACAAAAACGGTAAAATTATAAGAACGATAAAACATACAATTATAAAGAAAGATAAATTTAAAAAATAAATAAAGAAAGATAAATTTATTTGAAAAACTGAATTACTCGTGTCCGTTTAAAAACATTTATTTTGAACATCAAAGGGTCTTTTTTTAAAAATAAAAAATAAAATAAGTGAATATTTTACATTGAATTCCAATTAAAAAGATGCTTCCACACACCAGAACTAGAAAATGCAGTATAAAACTATAAAATGGTAGTATGGGATTTTTCTTGACATTAGTTGTGAACGTTTTACACCAAATTCCCACTGTTCATTAACATCATAGCAACATGCTGTCAACAAATCTTATAAGAGTTTATTTAGAAACATCAAAATAGTTATTTTGCGTATGACAAAAAGATTTGCCATCCTTCACATTGCTATGGATAGTGATTCTAAAATGAATATAGAAAAGCAGGTCCACAAGGGAGGTGAAATGATTTTATCCAGAGCTGCAGAGGATAAAAATGGTGCCATGGCAGCAGAAATTAGCAACAACAGAAGCGCTGGGGCCACAAAGAAGAGCAAAGTCAACAAAAGCATAAAACGGTATCCTAAGATGAGACCATTTTGATTACAACTAATGAGAGCATGACAAAACCTTTACCCTTTTTTCAACTCATATGTATGATTGTTGCTTTTTACTGTTAATCACATAGTGTGAGAAAGCTGTCCAAGATGACAGAAAAGCTAAGCAAAACTATGCTTGATGGTGTTGGCATTGCCACTGGAGCAGTAATGACACCTCTCGTCAAATCTCAAGCTGGAAAGGCGTTCCTATCTATGGTACCAGGAGAAGTACTCTTGGCTTCGCTTGATGCTGTTAGTAAGTAGCGAAGCCGAACTTGTGATCTTTTATCTTCCTTCACACGCGTGATGAGATGGTTACATTTTTTCAATTTTGCAAATCACAGACAAGATTATAGATGCAGCTGAGATCGCTGAAAGACAAGCTTTATCTGCAACCTCAAAGGCTACAACCAGAATGATCAGTGATAGGTAAACAATCTCCAAATGCAATATCCATGCTTAACCTTATGTGTGTATTTGCCAAACTCGAATAAAACTTTCTTTATCGTTCCTACCACTTTATTTTTTATTATCAAACATCAAATAACCTAAAAATTTTAAGGCAAAATGAATAGTAAATCACATTCATTTATCTAAAATCACTATTTATTTACTATTTATGAGTGGATTTTTGGTAATTTTTAATAATAATATTTTCATAATTTTTTTTTATAGTGTTTTAACATTCATTTACAAATTTTACACTTTATTCCATTTTGATCTCTTATTTTCTAAAAAAATATTTTTAATCCTTTATATTTTTAAATATATTTTGGTATCTCATGTTTTTACCCCATTCTATTTTGGCTCCTTATATATATATTTTTGGTTCCTTATGCTTTTAAAAGATGTTTTTTACCCTTTTATATTTTTAAATTTTAGAATAAAAATGTACATCGGATTATATTATTCTTATTATTTAAAATAAATATCTTCAATTTGTCATTTCTTATAAAAATTCTCATCAAATTAATTTTTTATGTAATTTTATTTGTTAATATATATGATTTATTTTTCTGCATGTATGAATTTTTGAATATGTTTTTAATAATTAATTAATTAATTAATTAATAGAATTCTAGTGTTTTTTTTGGCTTACTCTTGATATAATCAAAAAATTTTGAAGTAAAATTTTTAGTTGTTTTTATTGCACTTTATTAACTTCAATATATTTTTATAATTTAATATTTTTTTACAATATTTTTTAATTTATATTATATACTCTATCTTACTTGAATATGATCATGATGTATATAAAAGAAATATTGAGATTATTGATTTTATTGAAAATTAACTATACGAGATACACACATAACACAATAACTATTTACCATTAATTATTTTTAATATTCTAAAATTAATTTATTTCAAATAAAATAATTAAAATAATATTTTAAAAATACCATTGATTAATTCAAATACATCTTTTTCATGCTAATGATATTGATTGTTTTGTAAATAAAAAAATATATAAATCAAATGTACATATTTTTAAAAAGTTAAAAAAGATTCCTTAGTTAATTTTTATAGGTGATTTATTTTTTTAATGAAATCTTATGAAAAAATATTAAAATATTTTAAAATTTTATATTAAATTATCTATTTACATTTATAGGTTTTTATTTAAAAATAAATGCATAATGAAAAAGCAAATCATGTTTTTTTTAACAACAAAATTTATGAAAAAACATAAAGAAGAATGGATGAAATACAAAATTTGACTAAAAATTATGAAATTAGATAAAATTTTATGCTTTATCTTTAATTTAATATATTTTAATAAATCGATAGAATAATGCATGCTATTAAACTAAAATAAACATGTTTAGTTCGACCTATTGAGTAGCGCAGAAGCTCATTAGTTACAAAGAAACTAAAAGAACTAAGGTCTCGTCAATAGTAAGTGAACAATAACAAGCAATACTCTAGTTCTTTTGTTCGGTTTTTTTTTTTTTTTTTTGCTACTAGGTTGACCGGCGACCGAGGCTTGGCTATTAGGCACGCACGTGCCATGCCTTGGCAAACCAACTCGGCCACCTCCTTTTTTTTTTTTTTTTCCTTCATATATCCAAGCCTTGTTGCCCGGAGTTAGCATTCTTTCCTTCTTCTTTTTTTCTTTATATATATATATGGTTCATGATTAACAAACATATTTTTAGGTTACAATGGTCATTTTGAAACATTTTTAATTTTTGCTTTTATTGAAAATTTGTAATTGCTAATAATCTTTTGATATAATTTTATTTGTTAATAAATTTAGTTTTTTAATTTATGAATTTTGGAATAAAATTTTACAACGTCGATGTTTTATTATATATATATATATATATATATATATATATATATATAGTACCCATATTTCAAAACCCGGATATTCAAACTAAGAGGATTCTCCTCCTTTATCTCCTACTACATCGGCTATCATCGATAATATTACACATGAATGTAGTGCTTTGTCCGATGATAGTTTTACGAGTAGACAAAACATATCCGCATGATGATTTCTATGCAAAACATAATTCGCAAAACAAATTTGGTTCTTCAAAAACTTTCTAGCTAATAGGAAGTCAATTCAAAATGAATTTTATGAATTTGTGAATGATCATAAAGTTTATATATTGTTCTTTGATTGGTTTGAGATATATGCTTCGCAAATGATATTTCTTATCCTTTCGGATTTGTGAAACCGATGATCGTTAAGAACAAAACCCCTACATGGGAAGTGGAAAGACGGATGATTCGATCGACCATCCGCTACCTAGGAAATTGACATTTTCTTATGGAGAGACCAAAATAGAAGCTTGTCCATACAAAATTCCTAAAGATGATGACTCGATCAATATCAAAAATATTGTTCAACAAAATAATTTTACCAATACCAATCTCCAAACCATAGGAAAACGACTTGTTAGGATTGAATCCCATATCCGAGCAGACGAGTTGTCCCTCCTACCCCAAAACACTGTTGTTTCCTTAGCTCTCGAAGAAAAAAAGATCGAAGCTAAAAAACCCGGTCTTCAAATCTTTTCGGGTTTTTAGATCGAGTCAACTTAGGCACTTAGCGATACAATTACCCTAAGGATCTAACAAATGGTGCGGGGTATGAAATGGAAGATGAATGAAATGCGGATTGATAAATGAGCGGCGAGCCGATCACTTAGATGCAAATAATAATTTTAAAAGAGGCGGCGAGCCGGCCATTAATTTTACGAAGTAAACAATAGAACGGAATGGTACATGGCATTGTTAAACTAAAGTTAGGCTACGAGATACCGGGTATCATTAGGGAGCCAAGCTTTGGTATTCCAGTCGATATACCTTTAGAGAAGAAGAAGATAGATATACATAAATGTAAGAAATTTTATTAAATAAAATAACTTACAATGGATACGCGAAGCAAAAGCTATACGAGGTTTTGAGTTTCCGAGAACGGAATTACAAAGAGAATCCTATCCTAGAGAATGTACGGAAAGAACTCTCTAAAACTCTCCTAATGAAAAAAAAACTTGAAATACAAATGAAATGAGCTTCCTTTATAAAGAGAAAGCTGACTTGAACGAGTAACCATGAACGAGTAACTTTGAATAGTAAAAATGTATAGTAAAAGTAAATAGTAACTTTGCTACGGTGTCTTCACGTGTTGATGAACGAGTAAGACGCCGAAAGCAATTTTGTCTTCTTATGTCACGTGGGATGAACGAGTGATGATCTTGTGAAAATTTTTGTTACGGAGATAACTATTTTGTCGATAGATAGGAAATTGCACGAAATGTGTAAGATTTTTCTTAGAGTTCACGAGTGTTGAATTTGGGAAAAGATACTTATAGCAGTCATCTTCTTTGCCAAAATTAATCATGGGTTCGGACTCGGAATCAAAATCTGCTGTTTGTGAGGAATTTGACTCGTTTTGTACCATCTTAGACATGATGGCGAAGTATTCTTCTTTTGTTTTGATCGCTGCAAGTACGGCATTAGCAACGATTTTTATGCAAGGAAATTTATTGTCGAGGATGATGGCTTGAGTAACCACTTGTTTTGTAAGCCATTCTTCGATACCTATTTTGGATATAGATGATGGAACCTAGAAAGAATCCCACCATTTTACTTTGAATCTTCGGATTAGGATTAGGGTATGTTCTTGATATTGTGTTTCATAGTACCGAGAGCAAACCCAGAAAGGAAGAATTTTGTGCGAGAAAAGGAAAAGAGGTGTGAATCTTTTTCGTTTACGAAGGTTTGTATTGTGTTTTGAAGAGAGTAAAACTTTTCGTAATATACGGAGTGAGTATGTCGGTAAAAGAACCGTAAAAGTTCCATCAATTAATGAACCACATGGGAATGTTTATAGAAGTGAATTTTGTGTCAAAGTAGAAAAGCTATGAATGACTTCCTTTCTTGTTTTGGAGGAGAATAGTATTAAACCATGCTTGTCGATAATCCCGAGTAGGAGAAAGAACGACAATGGTTAACATTGGTTTTGTAATTATATGGGAACACAATTTATAGGGAGAGGTCTTGTCCCCAGTCGGAAGGATGGATTATTTGGAGGATTCTGCAGGTGGAATAAGTAGTTTCGTTTTGTCGGGGGTAAGGAAGCTGTTTGAAGGTGGCTGATTTTGTTTGTTCTAGGATGGTCATGTAATAGGCTTGGTTTTTGGATAAGTCCCATAAGGTGAAATGCCATTTAGGAGGGAAGAACTTTTGAAGAATTTTGTAAGGTTTGTCAAAGAAGTAACCATCTTCGACGGTTAAAATTTTTTGAAAATCTTTTTTGAGAAAATACTCGGATATGGATTTTTTGTAAACGGGTTTTGAGGAAACAATCACTTGAGTTTTTTGAGAAGTAACATTTTGAGAAATAAGTTTTGAAGAATTACTTAGTTTTGGAGAAAGGAGTTTTTCGAAGAAGAAGAACCTTTTTCCGGTTTTGAAATAGGTTCAAGATTCATACTCGAGATTTTTTGTAGGGCTAGAAGGAGTTACGGTTGTTTTGTCGGATTTTGGACCCAATTTTCAACAGATTGGGCTTTGATCGGAGTTTCGGTTCTCGTTTTTCTACGAGCATCCGCCAAGAAATGATAGGTTTTGCTGATGATAAGGGCTTTAGGCTTTACGGTATAAGGGGTTTTTTCTTTTGTTTTTCCTGTTGTGCGAAATTCTTAAGTCAAGAACTTTGAAAAACGATTGTGAAAAACACTAACTCTGTTTGAGTTTGTTTTCGAGTTCACTATTAGAATTGGGTTTTGAACTAGAAGATGTGATAAGTTCATCTACCCGAAAAGTTTCTTCACTTGCGGAATAGTCCGAAGGGTCAGAGGAATCTATTAACAAAGCGAAATCTTGTTGTAAACATCTTCATCAAGATGAAGTTCTTGTAATCTAGTATTCATACAATAATATTTTGCCACATGGCCCTTTTGACCACATTTGTAACGGGTAACATCCTTTAGTTCGGTTCGAGTTGAGACCTAAGCTGGGTTTTCCTAAAGGGTTTTTTGGGGGTTTTGTTGGAAGATTTCTTATAAAAAGGTTCTACATTTTTGGGCTGATCCTTACGGTAATGCTTTACGTAAGACGTTTTGTAGGTCTCGAGTAGAAAAACCCTCTTATACCGGAAAGCCCAAAATCCTTATCATCGATAAAACCCATCATTTCTTGGGCAAATGCTGTAGAAAAACAAGAACCGAAACTTCGATCAAAGCCTAATCAGTTGAAAATTGGGTCCAAAATTTGACAAAATAGCCGAACTCCTTCTCGTCCTACAAAAATCTCGAGTATGAATCTTGAACCTATTTTAAAACCGGAGAAAGGTTCTTCTTCTTCGAAAAACTCCTTTCTCCAAAACTAAGTGATTTTTCAAAAATTATTTCTCAAAATATTACTTCTCAAAACACTTAGGTGATTGTTTCCTCAAAAACCTGTTTACAAAAAATCCACATCCGAGTATTTTCTCAAAAAGATTTTCAAAAAATTTTAACCGTCGAAGATGGTTACTTCTTTGACAAACCTTACAAAATTCTTCAAAAGTTCTTCCCTCCTGGATGGCATTTCACCCTATGGGACTTATAAAAAACCAACCTTATTACATGGCCATCCTAGAACAAATAAAATCGACCACCTTCAAACACTTCCTTACCCTCGACAAAACGAAGCTGCTTATTCCACTCGTAGAATCCTTCAAATAATCCATCCTTCCGAATGGGGACAAGACCTCTCCCTACAAATTGTGTTCCCGGATAATTACAAAACCAATGTTAATCATTTTCGTTCTTTCTCCTACTTGGGATTATCGACAAGCATGGTTTAATACTATTCTCCTCCAAAACGACAAAGGAAGTCATTCATAGCTTTTCTACTTTGACATAAAATTCACTTATACAAACATTCCCATGTGGTTCATTAATTGATAGAACTTTTACGGTCCTTTTACCGACATACTCACTCCGGATATTACGAAAAGTTTTACTCTCTTCAAAACACAATACAAACCTTTAGAAACAAAAAAGATTCACACCTCTTTTCCTTTCTCGCACAAAATTCTTCCTTTCTTGGGTTTGCTCCCGGTACTATGAAACACAATATCAAGAACGGACCCTAATCCTAATCCGAAGATTCAAAGTAAAATGATGGGATTCTTTCCAGGTTCCATCATCTATATCCAAAACAAGTATCGAAGAATGGCTTACAAAACAAGGGTTACTCAAGCCATCATCCTCAACAATAAATTTCCTTGCACAAAAATTCGTTGCTAATGCTTAGACTTACGATAGCCAAAACGGAAGAAGAATACTTCGCCATCATGTCCGAGATGGTATAAAACGAGTCAAATTCCTCTCAAATAGCAGATTCTTATTCGATTCCGAACCCATGATTAATTTGGGCAAAGAAGACGACTATTATGGTATCTTTTCCCAAGTTCACCACTCGTGAACTCCAAGACAAAACTTGCACATTTCGAGTAATTTTCTATCCGTCGATAAAACAGCTTATCTCTAGAACAAAAATTTTCACAAGATCATCCATCGTTCATCCCACGTGACATAAGAAGACAAAATTGCTTTCGGCATCTAACTATTCATCAACACGTGAAGACATCGTAGCAAAGTTACTATTTACTTTTATTATACATTTTTACTATTCAAAGTTACTCGTTCATGGTTACTATTCATGTCAACTTTCTCTATATAAAGGAAGCTCATTTCATTTGTATTTCAAGTTTTTTTTTTTCATTAGGAGAGTTTTAGAGACTTCTTTATAGACATTCTCTAGGATAGGATTCTTTTTGTAATTGCGTTCTGAAACTCAAAACTTCATATAGCTTTTGCTTCGCGTATCCATTGTAAGTTATTTTATTTAATAAAATTTCTTACATTTATGTATATCTATATTCTTCTTCTCTAGAGGTATATCAATTGGAATACCAAAGCTTAGCTCCCTAACGATACCCGGTATCTCGAGCCTAACCTTGGTTTAACAATGCCACGTACCATTACGTTCTATTGTTTACTTCGTAAAATTAATGGCCGGCTCTGTCGCCTATTTTAAAATTATTATTTGCATCTAAATGGTTGGCTCGTCGCCCATTTATCAATCCGTATTTCATTCATCTTCCATTTCATGCCCTGTACCATTCGTTAGATCCTCAGGGTAATTGGTACCGATGGCAAACTCAACCCCAACAATTGGTATATATAACGGATTAAGAATATATAGAATAAATAGAAAAATATACAAAAAGAAACCTATCTAAATTGTAGAAATATATTGAAGTCAACAAATTAAAATAAAAACTACAACAAAATTGGTTCTCATAAATTCGAATAACTATATATATAAAAAAAATTGTGAAAATTTTAACTCATTATTATTTAAAAAAAAGTTGAGTTAAACTATCTAAAACATACTTTTGGCTCTCTCTCTCTCTCTCTCTCTCTCTATATATATATATATATATATATATATCGAAATTAACTATATATAGATTTGATTTATATTAATCACCAAAAATAAAATTTTCTACTAGCATTACACCATACGAATCGTTAATCCTACGTATATAACGGTTGTACGTGCGTAGTGTAGCGCGAGTATCCGACTAGTATATACTAAAACTATAGAGTTTTATTGTTCCTAAGTCTTGATTTGAAACTAGAGTAAAGTATAAATTAGCCTCTTTTGTTTTGAGAAACAAATTAATTAATCTTTTCGTTTCAAAAACTAATCATTTATTTCTCATGCTTTTAAATTTCCTTGCAAGTTAGCCCTTTTTACTCATTTTTATTTTATTTTTATTTTATTTTTTGAGAAATAGAAAAAATATGAAAAGTTTGAAGAGAAAATGACACATTTTATGGAATAAAAATAAAATAAAATTTAGTAAGGTCAACACGAGTCAAATGATTAAATAATAACTTTTGAAATGAGAGAAAATATATAATTTGTTGCTTAAAACTAGAGGGACTAATTTATAATTTACTCCTTGAAATTACGTTGTTTTACAAAAAATAACTATTTTTTTTTTACATTTTATATATTTTTTCATAGTTTGACCTTTCAAGTTCTAATTTTATACAAAATGATTTCTAATCTTATCTAAATTGTTTCTTGAAACTAAACGGACTAATTTATAATTTATCCTTGAAGTATATTTTTTTCCGGAAAATAAGTATTTTTTTTTTGACATTTTATATATATTTATACTTTGTTTTTTTAAGTTCTAATTTTATACAAAACGATTCCTAATCTTTTTGATTATGTTGTGCTTCCAACCTAAGAGTGTGGGCCTAATTGTCTCTAGGCCCATATGGAAGCGCATGGGGTGCGTTCGAGGATTATCTTCTTTTTTTTAAGCTTTTTTTTTTCATCATTTATTATTTGTTCAAAATAGTTTTTTTTCTCAATGGCTATATATATATATATATATATATATATAGACTTATTAATTAAAATTAAACAGTCTTTTAATATAAATTTATTTAACATTCTTTTCTAATTTGAATTTTTTTAAAAATAATTAATTAATTGTATTTTTTTATGATCAAAATCAAACATATTAATAGGACATATTTAAACTCAAATATAAAATATAAATATACTCGCTATAAGTAAGTTAATAAGATAATTTTTAAGTTAATCCTCAATTAACATTATAAAATACATATACTCGATATAAGTATACTTCTTTACGAAATTCCAGATAACAATTGCCTGAAAAAGAATTGTCTCCTTTTTTGGAATTATATTTCTCCAGCCGGTAACAATTACCATGTTCATTTTTCCTTGGCTAACTTCATTGCTATTTTGAGGAACAGGTTTGGAGATAGTGCAGGGGAGGCAGCTGAGGATGTGTTTGCAACTGCAGGGCATTGTGTGTGCACTGCTTGGAATATATTCAAGATACGAAAAGCAGTCAATCCAGCATCATCTGTTTCCACAGGAGCGTTGAAGAACGCATCAAGGAATAGAAATAGGAAGCATTAATCTTGTAGACAGTGACCCTTTTGTTCACTTGGTTTTTTAGTGACCAGAAAAATGGTCACCGGAGCCATAAATTGTTGTCAAGCTTGAAGAATATGACAAAATGCCTGGTTTACTTGTTGCTAAAGTTAGCATAGCATTCAATGCACGAATTCAGCAGTGAAAAAAAAATTATTTCATTCGATATTCTTAATCTTATTAGTGTTCGAAACTGTGAACAGTATGTGCTCGAATGCCGCAGAAAGTGTAGATTACCATTGAGATTTCATCTTCCTCGGAATAAATAATTTGTGGACAAAAACCTTACATCCCATTCGATTATCTTAATTCTTCTGGTGCCTGATGGATGAAAACTCCATTTCAAACCATCATTTTGCACCACCGAAAGTAGCACAGCCTTTCAAGATAGAATGTGAAAAAAGTAACTATACCTGATGATCAAATTATTCATTAGGATTCAGGAATAGAATCAAGTTGAAAATGAAGAGAATCAATCCTTACAGTATAACTTTATGTGTGTGTGTATATACACACACACTTTGTGCCATTCCATCTGCTTCTTATCTCTCTTTCTTCGTTTCCATTCATAGCAAAATATTCTCTTCGGACAGAAAGCAAGAATAGAATTTGAAGGTGAAAAAAGTAACTCCACCTGAAGATCAAATTATTCATTAGGAATCAGAAATAGAATTAAGTTGAAGATAAAGAGAATCAATCCTCACTGTATAACTTATATATATATATACACACACACACCTGGGGCAGAACTTTGTGCCATTCCATCTGCTTCTTATCTTTCTTTCCTCCCTTCCATTCATAGCAAAATATTTTCTCTTCGGACAGAAAGCAAGAGTAGAATTTGAAAATGGGCTTTTTCCGGCATGGTGGCCCTGAAATCACTCTCTCGCCAAAACAGAGGAACCCAAAAACCAAACATATCAACCAAGAAGTTCTGCTGCAAATTCCAGTATGCACAGTGTATCTGATGGATGAAGGAGAAGCTGTAGAACTTGCCAAGGGAAAATTCACTATTGTTCGAATCTTGGACAAGAATGTTTCTATTGCCACCATAATAAAAGTTGGTGACAATCTCCAGTGGCCACTGACAAAAGATGAGCCAGTTCTGAAGCTCGATTCTCTCAACTATTTGTTTTCCTTACCAATGATGGATGGTGGTTCTCTGAGCTATGGAGTGACTTTTTCAGAACAGTGTCGTAGCAGTTTGTCCTCACTAGATTCATTTCTAAGAGAACACTCTTGTTTCTCTGCCTCTACAACAACGACTAAAAATATTGATTGGAAAGAGTTTGCTCCCAGGATTGAAGATTATAATAATGTGTTGGCCAAGGCTATTGCTCATGGTACAGGTCAGATTGTCAAGGGTATCTTCATATGTAGCAACATCTATAGCACTCAGGTCAGTTTTTCCTATTAGAACAAAAACAATGGCATAGCTATACTGTTCTGATTCCGGTAACTGATAATTTCTTGAAGATGTTGCATTGCTATAATTAAATTGGTAAAAGGAACATCATAAGTTATATCACAAATCATAAAGTCTGTTGTTTTGAAGAACACTAGACATGTAATACGTCATGTATGTACTTAAATTATCTGAATTCTGAAGATTGTTGGGAAAAGCAGGTCCATAAGGTCGGAGAAATGATTATAAATCATGCCGCAGAGGAGAAAAATGGTTCCAAAGCTTGTGAGATTAACAGTAACAAGACTTCTGGAGCCACAAAAAAGAATGGAGCTAACCAAAACTTGAAACGGTAATTAACCCAATATAAGTACAGTAATTGATATTTTCAGCAGTTAATGTGACCGTTCAAAATTTTCCCTGAAATGATATGAAGCTGCTCTTTTGCTATTGATCGATTAGTGTGAGAAATTTATCCAAGATGACAGAAAATCTTAGCAAAGCTACACTAGATGTTGTTGGGGCTGCCTCTGGATCTGTGATGATACCCGTGGTAAATTCCCAGGCAGGAAAGATAATCCTAGATTCGGTTCCAGGAGAAGTCCTCTTTGCTTCACTCGATGCTGTTAGTAAGTAAAACCACACTTCCAACTCTTCTGTATTCATGGTTCAGACAGAGTGCTGTTGAGCACATCTTGTTTGAGGAGATGAAGTGGTAAGTAACTATGTTTACAACCTTGAAAACAGATAAGATTTTAGCTGCAGCTGAAGTTGCTGAAAAACAAGCTCTTTCTGCAACTTCCAGTGCCACAACTAGAGTTGTCACTGACAGGTAAACGACCTGAAAACTGAATGCCTAGCAACAATTCCTGACAGATGTTATCTTATACACGAATTTTTAACAGAAAGAGAATCAGATAGATTTTTTCTTTTCTTTCTTAAAGACATTCTTCTTAATTTTCTAAACACAACAATATCTTTCTGAAAATGAACTCCACATAGACAGCTCCAATTATTAGTTTCTTCATTTCTTAAACACAGGTAGTCATGATTTTCTACAACTGATGATACCTGCTAAACTAATTGAGAAATGGTTACAACAACATTTCTTGAAAATTTGAAGCTTCTTTCTTTTTTCTTTCGTTTCTTGAGAAAAATTGCTGCGCAAGTTGTTGACTTTTCGAGGATTATGTTCATCAGGTTCGGTGAGAACGCAGGGGAGATTGCAGGGGATGTGCTTGCGACTACGAGCCATTGTACTAACACTGCTTGGAATCTAATCAACATAAGAAAGGCCATCAAACCAGCATCATTTGTCTCAACAGGAATACTAAAGAATGCAGGAAAGGAGAAAAGATAGAGAAATAAGAATTGCATTGTTAAGTAAAATCTGAAGAAAACATGAAAACAAGGCCTCTGTGTTACCTCATCTGATATTTTTAATAAAACTACTCTATGTGGCTGCTGAGTACTGATTCTTCCTACTTCAGGTGAGCCTTTTTGAGTTAACTTGGACTAAAAATCCACTAAATTCTGAGACTTACATGGAGGTGTGTGAGACTGGAGGGTGGAGGGTATTTAGTAGCTGCTAGGGGATGGGTAAGACTTTTTAACCTTTAGGCTTGAGAAACGAGACTAATGCTTATGATTTTTCGGTGAAGATCCAAGGGTGGCAATCACCAAACATATCAAAATTCAAAGGGCACTCTACATCAGATGGTTTTGATCTTATTGCTAGAATTAACGTTTATTTCAAAAGGATAAAAGCTATTAGTTATTACCCAAAACTTGTGGGTTGAAAACTCTCTCTATAAACAAATTGGGTTTTGTCCCTATCCCAGACTCTATATTTTTCTTCTATATTAATTAAATCTATGTACTTTCTCTATAAACAAATTGTTTTAGTTATCTCATGGTCATTCTTAGTATGATATTAAAAGTGTTGTGCGTATCAGGAGCCTGATTCTAATGGTTTGGCTGAAAAAGTAATCATAAGAATACATTGAAAACTCATTTATTTTAGGGAGATGTGATGGAATATATGGGTTAAATATATAGTTTTAAAAGAATTAAAAATAATTAATTAATTTTATTAAAACAAACTAACTAAGTCATTTATAATTCACTCATAGCTTAAATAACTAGTTAGCGTTCTAGTTTGTAAAATAAAAAAGTTACTGAAATTGATTTTTTTTATAAAAAAGTCATTTTTACAAGAAATGTAGGTTAATTTGCCAAATGATCTCACTTGAACAATCAATGCCTTAGCACTGTGCCCTGCTCCCATAGTCCCATTAAAAAGAAAAGAAAAGGTTCTGTATGCTTTTACTTTGTCTTCCAGCCAACTTAAAGTTTCCAGGCTGTCCTTGCAGTCACCGGGAAGAAATAAGAAGATGCTTTCTAACCCAAAAAAGTCTTTGTTCCTCTGCATTATTAGATTCCGTCATAGATAATGTCCTAAATGTGCCAGCAAGCATATTTCTCCAATATTATCTGACTATATATATATATATATAAAATGTAGTTTAATGATGGTAATTTGGCAGCACCACGAATTTGACCATTAAAGGGACATTATTAGTGTGTCCAAAATAGGAATAATTTTTAATATTGTAAATGAATATGTTTTCTCATCCGTACAGCCCCACCTAAACTTTTCTCTCATGCTAGGCATGCACCTGAGTTAATTATAAACTAATCTTTTTAGTTTTGCAAAACAAATTAAATTTAATAGTCATTTTTATTTAAATTATTGTTTTGCTTGGGTCAATTTTTTTATATTTTAATTTATTTTTTATTTCTTAATAAAATAAAATAAAATAAAATTTAAAATGATGAAATGATTAAGTTACAAATAAATTTGAAAACATAAATGCTAATTAGTTAATTTTTTTAATTAAAAAATATTTAATTCGTTTTGATCAATTAAAAGGTCTAGTTTATAATTTAGTCCATGTGCCATAACAAAGCAATGCAGTGTCTAATTTTATTTCTCAGGAAACTACGCAGAATAGAATATGCCAACTCGATTTTCTACTAAATAGATCGATGCAAAATCCTTCTCCAAAATAATTAAAAAAACAGAAACAAAAACAAAAAATGACAAAACTACGACAGCTGGCCGCTTCGAAAACAATTCTACTGTTTTTTCCCCTTAATGATGGGGACTTATTTCTCGTTGTTTATTGAATTATTCCTATGGAACTTGTAATAAATTAACTGCACCGCCGACCACGTGTATAAATATACATACATGATTTAAAATGTGTTCTCAATTTTTTTTTTTAATACAATGTAAAACATATATTCTTACTAACTTACATATTAATCGAAAGATTTATTTATTTTTTATCGATGATTTTAAAAACAAATTCAATATCAATTTATAGTTTAAGAAAAAAAATACTATAAAAATCACTGTAACATATTTTTTTCCGAATTCAATAAAACCATATTCAAATGATATGCAAAAAAAGGAGTATCATAAACATATGTAAACCACAGTAGACATATTGGAAATACTTTGTAAAAAACACTAATATATATTTTTTTATTTAATGTGAGTCTATGTGGGTCTCATGCCCACATGTCACCGATCTAACACCACATGGTAAATGACAAATGTGTTTGCATTATAAAATGTGGGCTCAAGATAGTTGACTTATAATTATAAAAAAAAGGAAAAAAAAAGAAAAAAGAAGAAACATATGGATGCAACTCATTTACAGAAGACCTAATAGGAGGATGAATGAGTGACAATAATTGGGAGGTTGGCCCGCTCAGTTTTAAATATCTCGATTGGATCCAATTTTTCTAGAACCAATGGCAACTACTGCCCATTAATTATGCCAATTTAAAATCAGCTAGCTAGGTTTAGGTTTCAACCGGAGAAATATTAACTTGTCTTCCTTGCACGTTTTATCCACCATTATTTTTTCTTGGGAGTTTCTATCTTCCAGCTTATTTTATATATATGGTTAACATTGGTTAGCCTCTCAACATTTATCCTCAAGGAGTTGTCCCGTAGAAAGAACATTCTTGCCGGCTTTAGTCTCCTTGTACAAGTCCTTTCTTATCCTCAGTTCATTTTCATTAATTTCCAATCTGTTTTTTCTTGATCTGAACCAAGAACTTAGCAGTAATGGGGAACCGTAGCTCAGCCACAAGAAAAGCTCTGCCCATTGATACCGCTTTCAAGCTTCCTTCTCCGTTACCATCTTGGCCACAAGGTTACTTTTCTTTTCTCTTGTCTCTTCTTCCTTGAAAATTTTGATAATATTTAATTTTAATATATCTTCTCTTATTCAATACAATCTTGCTGAGAAAACTTGTTAAATTCATAAATGTCTAGGTGAAGGCTTTGGGAATGGAATCATTGAACTAGGAAGTGGATTACAAGTCTGTCAGATATCATCTCTCAACAAAATATGGGCCACAAATGAAGGGGGACCTGATAACCTTGGAGCTACCTTCTTTGAGCCAGCACAATTGCCACAAGGTTTCTCTATGCTGGGTTCCTACAGCCAGCCCAACAACAGTAAGCTACATGGGTGGGTTCTTGCAGGGAAAGATGAAACAGGCGAAGTCTTGAAGAACCCTATAGATTACACTCTTGTTTGGAGCAGTAATTCTTTGAAAATCAAGCAAGATGGTGTTGGCTACATTTGGCTACCTACTCCTCCTGATGGTTACAAAGCTCTAGGCCATGTAGTTACCAGCGCCGCTGAAAAACCTTCCCTTGAAAAAGTCCGTTGTGTTCGGTCTGATCTCACTGACGAATGTCAGATCGACAAATGGATATGGGGACAGGGTGAGGAAAGCGATCCAAATGGTTTCAATGTTTCCAGCCTGCGTCCAAGCAACAGAGGAACACAAGCCATGGGTGTCTCTGTTGGTACATTTGTGGCCCAAAATACTACCACTGCTCCTATTTCTCTAGCATGTTTGAAGAATATCGAGTCAAACTTATCTTGTATGCCTAATCTAGATCAAGTCCAAGCACTATTCCAGGCTTACTCTCCTTGGATATATTTCCATCCTGATGAAGAATACCTTCCTTCCTCAGTAAGCTGGTATTTTACCAATGGGGCATTACTCTATAAGAATGATAAAGATTCCAAACCTGTCTCGATCGAATCCACCGGCTCCAACCTTCCTCAAGGCGGTTCAAATGATGGCGCTTACTGGCTGGATCTACCTGTGGAGGAAGCAGCCAAAGAAAGAGTAAAGAAAGGAGATTTACAAGACTGCCAAGTCTATTTACACATAAAACCAATGCTTGGCGCCACATTTACTGATATAGTTATCTGGGTATTCTACCCTTTCAATGGTCCTGCCAGGGCTAAAGTTGATTTAATCAATGTTCCATTGGGAAAAACAGGACAACATATCGGTGATTGGGAGCATATCACCTTGAGGATCAGTAATTTCAGTGGAGAGCTATGGAGCATCTATATGTCAGCCCACAGTAGCGGGAAATGGTACGACGCTTCCGAGCTTGAATTTCAAAACGGAAACAAAGCTGTGACCTATTCATCGTTAAGCGGTCATGCGATGTATGCCAAGGCAGGTCTAGTTTTACAAGGGGGTGGGAGCATAGGAATCAGGAATGATACTTCCAAAAGTGAAAAGTTGTTGGATACTGGAGCAAGATTCTCAGTGGTGTCAGCTGGGTATGCGGGCACGGCTGTCGTTGAACCACCATGGCTTAACTATTTGAGGAAATGGGGTCCAAATATTACTTACGATATTGCGGAAGATGCCGAGAAGATGGAGAACCTATTGCCTGGATCACTCAAGTCTGCTTTTGACAAGTTTGTGAAGGGTCTACCGAGAGAAATATTTGGGGAAGAAGGGCCTACTGGTCCCAAATTGAAAAGAAATTGGACCGGAGATGAAGTTTGAATATAGATGACAAACCCGATGTTTTAAATTCTTCTCAAGGGGTAATTCTTTGTGGCTGCCGTCAATTTAATGTAGCAAAAAATAAAAGACATTCGTTTTAATTTTACGAAACTCACAACTAGTGTCGAGTGATCGTAGCTGCCTGACTGGTCAAGCTACATTGTTGCAATTATATATGTTTAGACCTAAATCAATTTGGAATATTAAGAAAGGATTAATGCTTTTTTACTTCCAATTGTATTCTTTCTTTTATGTTTGAAATATCTCCTTCTAGTATTTTTTTTTTATCTTAATATCTTTTTTATGAGTTACATTTTTGCTATCATTACACCTTTATGTCAATTTGTATTTCTAACGATTTGAAATATGACACATGGCAGCAACAATATTTTTTTGCTAGTGTTTATGTTGTGTCCCCTTTGTTTTTTTTTTTTTTTTGAAAAAATTACTTTGATCCCTTTTTTTTTCTTACAAGTAAATCTCTAATTGAAAGTTTTTTTAATTCTCATAGTTTATTAATAAATACAATTTGGCCTCTAAATAATTTTTTTCAATGAAATTCCTACATGTCAAATAATAAATTTGATCAAATTCTCATGTTATTTTAAATATATGAAGTGTTTTTATTTTTATTTTTATTTTTTTCATATTATCTTAGATATGTTATTCTTTTTGATAAATTACAATAACCTTTATGAGGTATTCGATATTATACTCGACCATCTAAAAAATTGAATATATAACAAAAACTCCATTTGGATCCAAAACACCTTTAATGTTAAAGAGAATTATTTTTTAAAAAAATATTAAGAATATCTTTGGATACAAAATGAGGTTTTTATCATGTTCATTTAAACTTAAGCTAGTGGGGATTTTCTAATATCTTTAAACTTTTGAATGATCACTCGTACTTTCATGATACTTCGGGGAGGTTTTCAAAATTTAACCAATTCTTTTAATAACCTAGTAACAATAATTCAATCTGTACCATACCAACATTATTAAGCAAAAAATCCTTATAAAACCAAATATATACATTTAGCTTTCTCACGTCATACACTACAAGAAAATAGGCAATTAGCAATGACAAATAATCTATCACTATTTACTATTGAATAGCAACCAATTAGCGATGAAATCGAAAAAACATCATTTATCGATGGATCATTGATGGTTTTGTGATGGATAAGTATCAACGAAAACAAATCCGTCGGTTTAGAGCACAACAAAAATCCATGCCAAATTCAACAATTGAATTACGATGGATTGGTGAGGGAATTTAGTGATGGAATACAAATTTTGTCATGAAAAGCATCGTTGGCCAAGCGACGAAGTTATCCGTCGCTAACCGTCATTAATTAGTGATGGATATTAATCCGTTGATAATAGCGCAAATCCTAGAATTTTTTGAATATTATTGACGAGTTGGTAAAAATTCAAATTAGTGATACAAATGACTATTTTGTCACTAATTAACAATGGATTAGCAACAAAAACACATCCTTTGCTATTTGTGAAAATATCTAAATCTTTCTGGAGAATTCGAACGGTCATTTGAAATTGATGAATGTATAATTAGCATAATTTTTATGCTCTTTTACATTGAATTTTTTAAGTGTTTATTGTACTATATTTTGTTAATTTCTAGTGTTTATTGTACTATATTTTGTCAATTAAGATCAAGATGACGAGTTTCGAGTTTTGTAAGAAAAATGATGAATTGAAGCAAAGAAATCTCAAACCAAAGCAAGGAGAAGAAAAGTCACCAAGGATGCATGAAGAGTCATATGGTCGTGCCACTTATAAAAGGAAATAATCATTGATCGTGTGACACAAATAAAGAAACCATGTGGTTATCCCGCAAGAAGCACTATACGAGTAAAAGCCTATCACACGACTTAGACAATGAAGCCAATACGTCCATGTATGTGTCAAGATAAATTAGAAGATAGAAGAAACACATTGGTAAAAGGTATTCCATATGAAAATGCATCGAAGAGAGACATATTCATGTCTCACAAAGCTAGAAGAAGTCCACATGGGTAGAATGAAGTTGTGCGGAATAAAGAACAAAGGCACATAGTTGTGTACCTTAATCTAGCAAACCATGCAACACCAACTCTTTAAAGCTCCAAACCATATGAGATTAAGCATCAAACCTTGTGACTTTCCTAAGCTTAATATCATTTTTGTGAGTTATATTTTTTTATTATTACACCTTTATGTCAATTTATATTTATAAAGCTTTGAAATATGACACATGGCGAGTAACAATATTTTTTTTGTTGATGTTTATTTTGTGCCCCCATTTTTTTTTTTGAAAAATTTACTTTGATCCCTTTATTTTATTTTTATTACAAGTAAATCTATAATTGAAAGTTTTTTTAATCCTCACAGTTTATAGTAAATACAATTTGGTCTCTAAATAATTTTTTTCGATTAAATTCCTACATGTCAAATAATAATTCAAGTTATTTTAAATATACGAAGTGTTCTTATTATGATTTTATATATTTTTTTCCATATTATCTTAGATATGTTATTCTTTTTGATAAATTACAATAACCTTTTTAAGGTATTATGATATTATACCAATCATCTAAAAGATTGAATATATTACAAAAACTCCATTTGTGTCCAAAAAAACCTTTAGTGTTAAGAAAATTATTTTTTAAAACAATATTAAGAATATTTTGGATACAAAATGAGGTTTTTAATCATGTTCATTTAAACTTAAGGAGAGATTTTCTAATATCTTTAAACTTTTGAAAGATCATTGCACTTTCGTGATACTTTAGGGACGTTTTTGAAATTTAACCAACTCTTTTAATAACCTAGTAACAATAATTCAATCGTACCATACCAACATTATGAAGGGAAAAAAAATCCTTATAAAACCAAATATATAAATTTAACTCTCTTATATCATACACTACAAGAAAATAGGGAATCAATAACGGATTTAGCAATTATAAATAATCCATCGCCATTTACTACCGAATAGTGACCAATTAGTGATGAAATCGAAAAAACATCATTTTACGATGGACAAGTAACAACGAAAACAAATCCATCGGTATAGAGTGTGACAAATTCCATGTCAAATTTAGCTACCGAATTACGATGAACCGATAAGGAATTTAGCAACCAAATACAAATTCCATCATTAAAAGCATCGTTGGCCAAGCAATTGAAGTTATCCATCGTTAATTGTCGTTGATTAGCGAAGTATATTAATCCTTCCATAATTGGGCAAATTTTAGAATTTTTTGAACATTATTGGCGGTTGGTGAAAATTCAAATTAGCAACGAAACGATTATTCTATCGCTAATTAACAATGGCTTAGCGAGGAAAACATGTCTTTTGCTATTTATGCAAATATTTAAATCGTTCAAGAGAATTCGAATGGTCATTTGAAATTGATGAATGCATAATTAACATGATTTTTATGCTCTTTTACATTAAACTTTCTAGTATTTATTGTATTATATTTTGTTAATTAAGATCAAATGACGAGTTTTAAGTTTTGTAGAAAAAAATGATGAATTAAAGCAAAGAAACCCTAAACCAAAGTAAGAAGAAGAAAAGTCACCAAGGATGCTTAGAAGAGTCGTATAGTCGTACCACGTATAAAGGAAAATAGCTACTAGTCGTGTGACACAAATGAAGAAATCATGTGACTATCTAACAAGAAGCACCACATGGGCAAAAGCTTAGTATAGGGCTTAGGTAACGAATCCAACACGTATGTGCGTGTGTCGAACCGAATTACCTTCCAAAAAGAAAGAAGAAGCACACTAGTAGAAGGCATTCCATATGAAATGCACTGCGAGAGAGATATGTCTCATAAAGTTAGAAGAAGTCCACAAGGGCGGAATGAAGTTATATAGAATAAAGAATAAAGGCACATGATTATGTGCCTCTATCTAATAAACTATGTAACACCAACTCTTCAAGGCTCTAAACCATATGAGATTAAGCGACAAACCTTGTGACTTTCCTAAACAATCTGTATGGCTATATGGGGCTAACATATATATGATGTAACCCTATTTTTAGTCGTAAATAGTGATGTTAGGATTTTATTTTAAGATTCTAACTTTGAGCAATCACCATAGATAGAAAATTTTCCTTTGTAATCGGCTTATGAATAACTAAAATTCATCTTAATTGAATGAAATTGAAGTTTTTAGTTAAATCGCTATGAGATTATGAGTTTTAATTCTAAACTTATCCTTTTTTAGTATTTTATGTTTTTTTTTGTGGTTGGTTTATGGTTATATGATTAAATTGATTAAAACATATGTTAGTTGTTTGATTATCTTAATCTATTGCTAGCTAAGTATTTAAGTTCGTATAATTACTTGTCTAAACTTACCTATGGTATTAACTAAGGGTTGATGATTATATATGTGTTTTGGTTCAATCTCTTGAAAAAAATATGAAACTAGATTACATCTTTCTAGCATCTATGAGGGTAGTTTAACTTTACCTATCTTTCTCTAATTAATATTGTTATAAAATTAAATCTATCTAGTGTTTAGTAGGTTATTTAGTAGCTAGGGAATTGATTGAGTATCATATATTTAGTTAACGACTCGGTAAGAAAAGACTGAAAATAACATACATGTTGTTGTCCTATGATGAATAGTCTTGTTAAGGATAGGCTAATAATTGAATCGATGATCGACTGCTAAACCAAAAAGTGGTTACCGAACTTCAACCAACCTTCTCTAATATTGTTATTTTTAGTTATTTTGATTGCTCATAAACACTTTAAACACAAACCTCTCTTTTTACTATGTTTGTACTATAGAATAATTAGACAATAAAAGCTGTTAATTAGGCCACTTTTTTGTAGGGTCGACCTTTGTGTACCTTGTGTACACCTTTGAAGGTGGGTTTTGTAAGGAAATACAAATAACTGATTTGTTAATAGTACGACATGTTGCCAAATTTTTGGCATCACCGTTAAGGAGGATTACATTCAAACTAATTA